AAGTTTATTAAATTTAATATATAATATATAATATATTTTATATATAATTAAAATTAAATAATAATGAACTAGCTTTAGAATTGCAATTGACATTTGACAAGTTAAAATCTATATATCCGATAATACACAAGCAAAAAGTTAGTTTTAACATTAGTCATTAACTAGACGAGTTACAAAAAAGATTAAATAACATAGAAATAATTATTATTTAAAGTTATGAAGATAAACTAAAATAAATCACAAATACAATTATCTAGATCAATGTCACCATCACAGTCACCATTATTATCAAAGCGTGAGACACATTCAAACCTAAACCAATTGAATTTTCATCGATGTTATTCTCAATCTCATTCCGCAATAAACCACTTCCATTTCATCTTCAATAGATTACTCAACATGGCCCAAGATAGCTAGATGAAATGGCCCAATTATCAGAGGAAAAAAGGGTAAGCTAGCGATTTTTTCTAATTTTATCTAATTTTATGATTTTACTACAATTTTATAATTTTATACCCTAAGTTTATGATATTTTAATTTTTATTCAAATTTTATGCAAATTAAATATTTAAAATCGTAAGATTTTATAAGTAAAATTACAATTTTAACAACCATAATTAAAATTGTTTTCGTTATTAATATAAAAGACTTTCATGCTCTGTGTTCCTCTCCTTATCTCCCTCTCCTTGTAGGCTTGAATTACTTAGTTTTAGTGCATTAGAAGAAAAAAAAAATATGCTAAGACCCCAAGTAACAAAACAAACTCATTACCAAATAATAATAATAAGGTAACAAAATAAACTCAAAGAAATAATAGTACCATAATTAATAAGTACCAATTCCCCATATTCACATATATATTTTTACCAAACATACATCATCAGTAATTACTTCTCTAAATTTTTTAAATGGAACGACAAAAGTTATAAAGAGACGTATACAATGGTTCAACTCATTCCGTGAGTTGACTTGTGAATGAACCATTCAAGTTTGGAAGTTTTGATGTTTCAATTTTTACTGGCCTAGTTAAACCCTACCTAAGTAGATCTTTAAAACTCTATTTTTATAAAAAAACATTAAATAATTCTAATGTTAAAGAGTGTTTCACCTAAAATATCTTCCTATTTTCCTCTGTTTAAAACAGACTGGCTAGTTGAATAGGTTAAACTGATAACAACTATGAAAATGATTTCCTGTTAAAATAATAAAATTAATAATTAGTAGTCAAATGGGTCGACCATCGTTTCTATTTTAAAAACACTGCTACTTGTATGGGCCAGTTGATCTAATATAGTTTTTCTGAGTTGACTTGAATCAAATTTGGTTGTTGAATTGAGGTATGCTAATTTTAGAACTTGTTTGGTTTTGAAGCCTAACTTTTTAAACTTAGTTGAATAAAGGCAAAAAGGGAAATTAAGACATTCTATCATTAAAAATGTCAAAATATTTAATAATAATTATATAATAAATTTGATAAAGTTAGAATATACATTGTACTCCACATATTTAATTGTTGTGATTGAATGTTCCGACATTTTTAATGTTAAGATATCATGATTTTTCCTTTTCTCTTAAACAAAAAAATTTTGATTCTCTTTAGGTTCTTCAAATTAAACATATTTTTTAAAAGATCTTATGTTCCAACACAAACTTGGAAGAGAGTTGCTTAATTCCCTTTAATCATGCAACACAAAATAAACAATATTACGCATATAATAGTTTTAAGTATATATAATAAGATATGAGAATAATGTATATCAATTTAATTTCTAATAAAAATTGGAGTTTTAACTTCAAAAATATTACTTTCTAATAAATATTTTTAAAAATTAACTATTAGATTTAGTATTCTACTCATGTAGATTGATTAAATATATATAGTTAGTTGCTTGATTAAAAAAATCTATCACCATTAAAAATATATTAGAAAATGTAAGTTTCTTTATCGAATGATTATACGTATTAGGTCAACTTGAAAATTAATATGCATGATTTATATTAATGGAACATTAACTTTAACAATTAATTTTTGAAAATATTTATTAAATAGTGTTGTTTTTAAAGTTGATATTCTAATTTTTTTTATTACAGTAAGAACTTAAATGTACTTTTCTAATTTTTATTAGTCAAAATTTTAAAAAATTAAGAAAAAGATTATAAAACTGTCACTTTAATAAAATAGTATAGGAAAAAATTAAAATAATCTCATCATTACTTTAAAAATAGATTATTTTTGTTTATTTAAAGTTGATTGAAATGACATAGTTTCGAAATTCTTTTCTTTTAATTTTTTAGAGTTTCAAACAACATTACTTTTTTTTTTATAATATCGGATATGTTATGTTCACAATACCATATAAAATTGTAAGTTTAAAATTATATTGCCAACAATTATATAATAGTATATTGTGTTATAAATTTACAAATCATATAAAATTGTAACTATTATATTTTTCTTGTAATTAATAATATTTTTTTATATATAATGTGACATTAAATAAATAAATAAAAGTAATTTGTAAATAAAGAAATCAATTGTAAGATAACAAGTCAAATCGAGAAAATCCATTTACATAAAATCATTACTAAAAAATGTAAAAAAAAAAAAATATTATAGAAGCTGTAAATAAGTTAACTGGAAAATACAAATAGGCAATAAATTTAAATCACACCTGCATTTTCTATTGCTCACGCCAGCATTTAATTCTCCAAATAAAAATCCAACAAACAACTAATTTCATTCCATCTGAAAAAAAAAAAAAAAAAACGAGTAATAAAAGATTTTTTTTTTTTAAAAAAAAAAACACAACACAACACGATACAGCGAAAGTCAATAAGGGCAAGCTCTGCCTTTCGGCATCCATTTACTCTGCTGCTCTAATTCTAGAGTATTTTCCTCATTCAAGGATTACTTCCTCCGTATACTGCTTAACCCAATTTTCCTCTATTGTACACAGTTTTCAAAGAATTGGGCAATTCAAGTCTTCGTACAGGTCTTTTTCTTGCGTCTTCAGTGGATCGGTAAGGGGAATTCTGAGATACCCATGTTGTGATTTTGGTTTATTTTTTTGTTTCTTATTAGTTTATGGGATTTTGGGGTTGTTTTGGATTGGGGGTTTTGTTTGTTTAGATGATCAGATTTATGGGTTTGATTGTGCAGGCTGTGGAGAATCAGGGTTTCAAGGTTTAGCAGGAGGGATAGATGTTGAGTGGTAGCAAAAGGAGGTGAATTGTGGGAGTTTGAATTATATGGAATACTTATGTTGCTTCAATTCGCTCTATTCACAAGTCAGTTTTTGATCTCTTCTGTCAGTTCCCTATTTCATTTAAGTCTTTATTCCCTTCTACTACTGATTGTATCTATCTGTATGAATTTTGTCATCTTCATATTAGGATCACACTTTCTTTTCAGAAGAGTCTTGTTGGAGACATGGTTGGATTCTAACCGGCATGATCTAGTATTCTAGTTCAGAAAAATTTTGACCTTTTAGTTACAGTTTGCCTTTGTTTTACTTCTTTAGTAAATAGGGTATATGGACTGAAGCTCGCACCCTTCCAGTTTCCAGGAAAAAAGGGATAGCTTGACATGTTTATCCTCTGAAGTGTGAAATAAAAGAGAAGAGGCTATGTAAACTTTAAATTGCTTTATTGGTTAAATAGGATTGCCTGACAGGTTTTTCTTTTCTTTTTTTTGGAAAATTATGTATCTTTTCTTTTTGTTGGAGAATCCATCGCAATGTTTCGCTCTGGTTATCCTAGTTTGTTGGGAAGACTATGAGATTCAAAAATGATAAAAAGAAAGACTTTTAGCAGCTTTTCTGTCATGCTGATTTTGGTTGGACAACTAGCTGTTATTAGGAAATGAAATTGAAAAGTAGTTTTTTTTTATATTGAAATTTTCACAGACTACCGTTTTTATGTTAATTATTTATTTATCTTGAAATTTGAATTATTGCTTTTACTTTGAGGCTCCTGTTAATAAGATGTATAAAAAAAAAAAAAAGAAAAGAAAAGAAAAGAAAAGAAAAAATCCCTTACTTTTGTGCTTGGATCGTGGAAATTGTCAGAATATATTACAAGGTGATAGCATTGAAGTTGTAAGCTCAATCCAATCTATTCTTGTCTATTAGTAGGATTCTGGTTCGATGATGATCTCTCCAGGAAGTTGGTTTCCTGTTAATGTGTTAATGATATGGATGTTGAAAACTGGTGATTGTCCAGGTCATATTCCTGACTTCCTGGAGTATCATGCTTGGTCAAAGTGGTCCTTTTAAGTACCCCCTCTGTGTCAAATTATCTATCACTATAACTAACTTGCACATAAGTTTAGATAATGGTTTTATATAACATATGAATTACAATTGGATTTTTTTTTTTTTTTTTGATTTCAATATTTAGTTCTTTATTGGTAGTTTTATTTGATAAAAAATTCAATTACCATTTATATGCTACATAAAAGTGTTACCTAAAGTTACATGCAAGTTAGTTATAGTGATAGATAATTTGAGATTGAGGGAGTAGACCATTTGTGTATTTTTTTTACACATTAGTTTGATAATTAAAGTGTTGAACTGCTTAGAATATGAACATGTTCTGTTATATATATTTTTTTGTGTTGCATATTTCTCATGGCAGTTTTGAGGAAAAAATGCTGTCAAATTGAAGAAGTATAATTCTCTGTCTTCAGGATATATATCTATATTTATATTTTTTGTATCACTTTTTAGAGTTCTGAAGTATGCCAAAAGTTATTTTTGGTTCTTGTCTGTAGATTGTAGGAGGCCGTTCATCATGTAGCTCTGGGAAGGGCAGGAGCCATCAAGGCCCAACCAAGTATGGCTTCAGCCTTGTTAAAGGGAAAGCAAATCATCCAATGGAAGATTATCATGTTGCCAAGTTTGTTCAACTCCAGGGACAAGAACTCGGACTCTTTGCTATTTATGATGGTCATTTGGGAGATAGTGTACCTGCCTATCTGCAGAAGAATTTGTTTAACAATATCATAAAGGATGTAAGTTTTCATGAGTTTGAGTTATTCATAAAGGGTATTCTGTCACTTGAATGCCAAAAAAATGATATTGGGTTATACACTGTATTATAGATTAGGGTATTTGCTTATCTAGAAACTGAAACTCTTAAATTCTACTATGAAAGAAATGCAAATGTAACTTGCTTAGACAGACATACTAGAAATCCTAGTTAAAGAAAGAAGTTTTAGTTATTCATTTAGCAATTTATATCTTTGAGTGTTATTGTAGAACAATGGAAGGTCTATTGTGTTGTTTTATCCTAACGCACAGGTTACATTTACTGATTGCTAAGACATTCTTTACCTTGTCTTCACCATAAATTCTAGGATGAGTTTTGGACTCATCCTGACAGATCCTTTTCAAAAGCTTATGAGAAGACAGACCAAGCCATTCTATCGCATAGTCCTGACTTAGGACGAGGAGGATCCACTGCTGTTACTGCAATTCTCATAAATGGGCGAAAGCTGTGGGTAGCTAATGTTGGAGATTCACGTGCAGTTCTCTCTAGGAAAGGGCAGGCAATACAGATGTCAACTGATCATGAGCCCAACACAGAGCGGGGCAGCATTGAGAACAGAGGTGGCTTTGTCTCAAACATGCCAGGTTATTTGACCATTACTCAGGACTTCTAAAAGTAGACTTGATAATTCTGAATTGACAAATAATTTACTTTCATAAAGTTGATTCAGCCCATGGGTTTATTTTGTTTCTGCAATTTTTTGGTGACCATTTGTTGGTGGCAGAGTGTGTGTGTGTGTGGATTTGCCTGTTATACAGTATTTACTGCTATATGAGCATATAAAGTTTTATGGACGAGTGAATGGTGATTGCAATTAGCTCAAAGTTTGTGTCATTTTTAACTGTGCTCTCCATGAGATTCCATAATTTTACTTTTTCCTTTATAATATGATGCTAAAACATTTGATTGTTAGACTGGAGTTTTTTGTGTTGCATTTTGTTTCAGAAACTTGAAATTTTGCAATTATTGTCCTTCCAAATTTGGTAAGAATTACAAACAGAATTTGTTCCTTAAATGAATTTGTTTGTTAAATATGTTTCTTTCATGACATCAAGTTGTTTTTTGTTCTGAATTTTGGAATCAATGATTTATCACTTAAATGTAAACTTCTTTCTAAGTAACTGGTAAGAACTAAGTAGTGATGGTAATGGTACTTTTGGGACTGAAGAAATACCATAAGTAATCAAGAAATATAAAATTCTTCTAAGGGCATTAATAATACAAGAACCTATTTTGAGACCTATTTACAAAATAAAATGTTGTAGATTAATGAAAAGGAAGACAATAAAGGAGACTCATAGTGTTCAAATTAGAAATGGCAACATTTTAAGAATTTGTTTATGTGCATTTTTCTCTAATCATATGTGAATTTATGTATGTAATGTGGATCTAAAACAAGTGAATTTGACTACATATATGCAAAAGGGTGTAAGTATTTGTGTTGCTAGGTATATCAGTGTTAAACCAGTACTTGCTCTGTTGCTGCAAGTGTTATTGGCCTCTCTTTATCTAGTTGCTCCTGTGAGACACTTTTGTTTATCAACTTGATGCTATCATCTAATACTTCTTTTAAGTTGTTTATTATTTACTGTTTACTTAAGGATTGCCAAAACTGGAATATTGTTGTTTATCAAACCTTTTTATATTCATAGGGTTTTTCTGTTTGTACAAGATTTGAATATATTGCTGTTTCGTTCTTACTCTGTGTTTGTGATGATACATCCGGCAAGCAAGTACTTTTAGGATTGAGAGAAAATTTAACCAATCATGATAATATTGGTCTAATGAGTGAGGATCCACTTACACATGTGAGAGTCTTACATAGATTATTAGTTGTTGATTTTCCAATCGAGCTGTTGAAATGCTGGTTCTATATTTAGTAATATATCGCAAACTGTTGGGTTTGGAAATTAGACTGGCCAATAATTTATGCAAGACTTAACCTGCAAGTGGATCCCAACTCTGGTAAAAATTGTTTGATGCTTTTGAATCTGTTACAAATTCATCACTGCACACTCAAGCATGACAGTTGCTGAGTGAAGGCTGTTGTCGTCTTAAGTCATTGTAAGTGATGTTGTTCGATGCTATTTCACTATCAGGTGATGTTGCAAGAGTGAACGGCCAGCTTGCAGTTTCTCGTGCCTTTGGAGACAAGAACCTTAAATCACACCTTCGATCTGACCCTGATATGCGAAGTTCCGAGATTAACTTGGATACTGATATTCTGATCCTTGCAAGTGATGGACTATGGAAGGTGATCTGTTTCACACTTTCTCTTTCATACACATGCACACGTCTGTTATCATAGATTTTATGATGTGGGTCTTTACTTATCTCTTGTATGAACTTTGATACAGGTTGTGTCGAACCAAGAGGCAGTTGATATTGCAAGAAAGATAAAAGATCCACAAAGAGCAGCCAAGCAACTAATAGCAGAGGCATTGAATAGGGACAGCAAGGATGATATTTCTTGCATTGTAGTTCGTTTCAGGGGGTGAAAGAAAAACATTGAAAACTATCCGTGGATTGTGGGATATGTATATGCCGCATTTTCTGTTGCGTGAAATGCAATTCTATAGCTAGCGTCATGCAGAAAGTTCGAGGAATTATCATCCTATGGAAATTCATAATAGGATATTTGTTCCATGTAAAATTGGAGTTCTAGCATTAGGTTGTGAGGCTTGATATTGCTTGATTTCTTATAATTTGTAGATTCATTCCATCATTTTTCTCTGTAATTCAAAGCTATCGGTATAGCCTGGATTTATATAAGTCGTATGAGGATTGCAATTCATGCTGTAATAGAAAACTATTATGTGATTGAAGATTTAAATGCTCCTCTTCAGTTGCAGCTACTTCCCAATCTATTTGGAGCTTGTTCCTTAGGGCTGTCAAAACGAAAGAAGACACTCCTTCTTCCCCTGCTACCCCAAGGAACTAATCACAAATCAGCATTCCTAACTAATTACTCCATTTTCGATGTTCATACATTTTCCAAAGGTGAGGTCGTGTTGATGTCAACACTCCATTGGTACTTACACATTGCTTATTGGGGTCGTTTGGTTTTCACTTCCCTGGAAGGCATTTACGGGGGAGGCCATCCAACAAAAACAGCTTAGCTTGGCTCAGGAAATTTGATTTCCAGACGCAAATATCACGCAGGGTTATAACCAGTTGCAAAAGAGAAAAAATGCATATTTTTAGATATAATCAGTTTCATTTAAATATAGCAAACTATGCATGTTAGAAGGATGCATATTTTTGGATATAACTAAATATATATAT